ATGTTCTTTAGCAAGGAACATACATTCCACACTAATAATTATACCACCAAAATTATTGTGTGCTGTAAATTGCCTCCAGCATCGTTCCTGTTTCTCCTTGCTGGAGGCTGCCATTTTGCTTAAGCCCAGAGCCCCTGAACAGCAGTAAATCATAAAGAGGAATTAATCCCATTGATTTAACGGTTTCAAAAACAGTTACGTTCCTGGAATTCCGGGATTGTTAACTGTCACATTTGCTTGTGTTCTTAACCAAACTGTCAAACCATCAAATGGCTGGTGCCTTAACTGAAAAAATGAATGCAGCTACATCTTCTGAGAACTGGCAACAATAGCAACTGACCAAGTTTTGCTAACCTGTCCTGGTGAGGGTCTCCTGGGAGCGCTTGACTAGCAGGTGTTTTCTTCACCCCACATACATTGAATCATTGCTTGATCTGGTTATCTTTTGCCTATAGGCATCTTAAGAAAATGTTTTTTTTTATGGAGCTTTTATACTGTTGAAAATAATCTTAGTGGGACAATTCCCATCAGCCAAAATGGTTTCTTTGATCCTTTGTTGTTGACAATTTCATAACATGGTGTTTGTTGTGACTGATCAAGAATGCAAACAGAGTGAATTTTCACCATTCACCAGGCAGTTACAGGAAGACCCTTAGGCTATTTTAATTCCCAGAGTAGGGTTTTGTGGTTTGCATCCTGAAAAGCATAATCCCTGCTAATCATCCTACTGGCTGTTTTGCTGTATGTTTTGATAAAAGAAACCACTAAAAGGCCCTTTGATCTTGGAGTTTTCCATCGCACTTTGACAATACACCTCTCATAATTTGCAAAAAAATTTTGGAAAATAACTGTAGTTTATGTTACAGATGTGGCAACTGAATTAATTAGTCATAATAAAACCTTTCCACGTGCAAACAAGAGGGTGATACATGAACTGTAAGCAAGGACTCAGGGTGTATGATGAAAAAAAATTGGATAGCAATTTGTCCAGTGAAAGTGCATGTACATTTGTTCTATGTGAATGGGACAAAATCAAATGTTATTAGGCTATTTTCATGCTGGTTGACTGTTTTTCATTGATTCAAAATGTAAAATACCTAATTTGACCACAAGCCTAATAGCATTTGTTCTTTGCCTAACTCGCACAGAACAAGTGTACTTGTATTATACTGGGTGAATTGCTACGACATATACAGTTCAAATTTTTTTTTACTAATGTACCTATAGTGCATAGTGTATCAATAAATAAAAAAGTGTGTTTGTGTTTGTCCTTTTTTTTTTATCTTGTTAGTTATTATTATTACCAGGGTTGTAGCATACAGTTGTAAGAAAAAGTATGTGAACCCCTTGGGATTACGTGGAGTTTTGCATGAATTGGGCATAAAATGTGCTCTGAACGTCATCTAAGTCACAACAATAGAAGAACACAGTCTGCTGAACATAATACTACATAAACATTAGATGTTGCCATTGTTTAATTGCACATAACCTGTAAACATTCACAGTGCTGGCAGGAAAAACTATGTGAACCTTTGGACTTAATAACTGGTTGACCCTCCTTTGGCAGCAATAACCTCAAGCAAACATTTCCTGTAGTTGCAGATCAGACCTGCACAACGATCTGGAGTAATTTTGTACCACTCCTCTTCACAAAACTGTTTCAGTGTAGCAATATTCTTGGGATGTCTGGTGTGAATCGCTCTCTTAAGGTCATGCCACAGCATTTCAATCGGGTTGAGGTCAGGACTCTGACTGAGCCACTCCAGAAGGCGTATTCTGTGCTGTTGCAGCCATTGTTTTGTTGAATTACTTGTATGCTTTGGGTCATTGTTCTGTTGCATCACCCATCCTCTGCAGAGCTTCAGTTGGCAGACAGATGGTCGTACGTTTTCCTGCAAAATGTCTTGATAAACTCTGAAATTCATTTTCCCATCAATGACAACAATCCGTCCAGGCCCTGAGGTAGCAAAGCAGCCCCAAACCATGATGCTCCCTCCGCCATGTTTTACAGAGGGGATGAGGTTTTGATGTTGGTGTGCTGTGCCTTTTTTTTTCTCCACACATAGTGTTGTGTGTTCTTCCCAAACAACTCAATCTTGGTTGAGTATATTTTGCCAGTAGTGCTGTGGAACATCCAGGTGCTCTTTTGCAAACTTCAAACGTGCTGCAATATTCTTTTTGGACAGCAATGGCTTCCTCCGTGGTGTCCTCCCATGTACTCCATTCTTGTTTAATGTTTTCCTTATTGTAGATGTGTCAACAAAAATGTTAGCATGTGTACCAGAGATTTCTGTAGGTCTTTAGCTGACACTCTGGGTTGCTTCTTTACCTCATGCAGCATTCTGCTCTGTGCTCTTGCAGTCATTTTTACAGGACGACCATGCCTAGGGAGAGTAGCAACAGTGCTAAACTTTCTCCATTTGTACACAGTCTGTCTTACCGTGGACACATGAACATCAAGACTTTTGGAGATACTTTTGTAACCCTTTCCAGCTTCATGCAAGTCAACAATTCTTGATCGTAGGTCTTCTGAGAGCTCTTTTCTGCGAGGCATGGTTCACATCAGACAGTGCTTCTTGAAACCAGTAAACCCAAAGCAGGTGTGTGTTTTTTAAGGGCAGGACAGCTGTCAGCAACACATCCAATATCATCACACTGATTGGAGTCAAGGTTGGCTCACTCCTGGCTCCAATTAGCTCTGGGAGAAGTCATTAAGCTAGGGCCTTACATACTTTTTCCTCCCTGCACTGTGAATGTTTACACGTTATGTGCAATTAAACAATGGCAACATCTAATGTTTGTGTAGTATTATGTTCATCAGACTGTGTTCTTCTATTGTTGTGACTTAGATGACGTTCAGAGCACATTTTATGCCCAATTCATGCAAAACTCCACGTAATCCCAAGGGGTTCACATACTTTTTCTTGCAACGGTATGATCATAGGACCCTATAGAAAAATATTGACTGGCTCATGCCCTTAGCATTTTTCATTAGTGAACAGTAGCCTGATGATGAAATTGTCCCTTTTCTATTTTTGGCCTATTGCATATCTATTTATGTTGCCAGTGGTCTTCCAGGATAAACAATAATACCCTTTGCATTGGTGGGCAGTAAACTTTGCATTTGTAAATTTCCAGCACCTTTAACATTGGTGGCCAGGTGCTTTACAATTATCTCTTTTTTCCCAACATACAGATACCCTAAGGGCATCTGTATTAGGGTTGCCACTTCATCCCTTTAAACCCGAACACATATTAATTACACAAGTTTTGTGGCTGAATAAGGTGCTTATTAAACTCAATGCCCTTACCTGCATTAAATTAGCTTCAGAAGCTGTGCAATTATTATGTCTTTGGTTTTAAAAAGGATGAGCTAGCAGCCCTAATCTGCATGCCAGTTTGGAGCAGTCAAGCGCCTCCTTGGCTGGCAGCCAGCAGAGCTACCTTCTTCCTACTCGCCGAAGGACCAAGAGAGGCTGTAGCGGTTGGATCAACTTTAAAGATCATCACACTAATTTGAAGAGGAGGGGCACTGGATCACTTTAGGACTCATGCACATAGGACATGTTGAAAGCTCTCCTAGAAGCTTTTCATCCTGGTAGCAGTGTTTTTTCAGAAAACAAATGCCTGATGCTTGTAAAAGTGTCCCATGCTTTTACAAGCATTAACAGGCATCAAGTGCTTGGGTGTTAATTTATTTCATTGGCCGAAATTCTGGTCGTTGAAATTAATTAAAAGCTGCAAAATTACTTCAGCGCAATCATGCAAACTACCACTTCCATTGTGATACTGCTGCTGACACTAAATGTGTTCCCACATATACAAATAGTAAATACTTAGTAAACCAGTGCCACGCAATACAAACTATGCAATATATAACATGTGACATCCTCATAATAAAGTGCCTCTGAAATTTCCCATATAACTTCTTAAAAAGTGCATACAAACATCATAATCATAGTGCGTTACAAAAACAATGTGTTCATCTTGCGGCATAGAAGTCCCATATAGTATTGAGAGTCTTTCTATAATATATAAATTCTTATACACTCGCAAAATGGCGGCTCACAAACTTCCAGTTGTGCGGCTTGACGTCAAGCCGCACAACTGGACATTTGTGAGCCACCATTTGGTGAGTCACCTTAGAACGCTGGATGTGATATTGTGGAAGCTATTCAACTGCAGTGTGCCAGTTGAGCACTTTTTATGTGAATGCACATACGTATCTTTTAACCGCTTGCCTACAGGGCACTTTTACCCCCTTCCTGCCCAGGCCAATTTCCAGCTTTCAGCGCTGTCACACTTTGAATAACAATTGCGCGGTCATACAACACTGTACCCATATGAAATTTTTATCATTTTTTGTGACAGATAGAGCTTTATTTTGGTGGTATTCAATCATCTCTGGGTTTTTTATTTTTTCTTAAACAAACCAAAAACCACTGAAAATTTAGAAAACAAAATGTTGTTCCTTAGTTTTTGTTATACAATTTTGTAAATAAGTGATTTTTCTCCTTCACTGATGTGCCCTAATGAGGCTGCAGTGATGGGCACTGATAGCCTGCACTGATGGGCACTGATAGGTGGCACTGATGAGGAGGCACTGGTAGGTGGCACTGATGGGCATTGACAGGCATCACTGATGGGCACTGAAAGGCAGCACTGATATATGGTACTGATATATGGCACTGATATATGGCACTGACTGGCACTGATAGACGGCACTGACTGGCACTGTTAGGTGGCACTGACTGGCACTGATAGGCGGCACTGACTGGCACTGATAGGCGGCACTGACTGGCACTGATAGGCGGCACTGACTGGCACTGTTAGGTGGCAATGACTGGCACTGTTATAGGCACTGACTGGCACTGATAGGCGGCACTTACTGGCACTGATAGGCGGCACTGATGCACACTGATAGGTGGCACTGATGCACACTGATAGGCAGCACTGACTGGCATTGATAGGTGGCAATGATTGGCAGCACTGATAGGTGGCACTGATTGGCATTGATAGGTGGCTCTGACTGGCACTGATGGGTGACACTGAAAGGCAGCTCAGATGGGCATTGATATGTGGCATTGATGTGCACTGGTAGGCACTGATATGTGGCATTGATGTGGCACTGATGGGCACTGGCAGGTGGCACTGTTCAGCACTGACAGCTGGCACTGATGGACATTGACAGGTGGCACTTCTGGGGCCACACTGATCATCAGGGCACACTGATCATCAGTGCTCTGATGATCAGTGTACATGTCCCCTCCGAGGAATGCCGATTACCGGCTCTCCTCTCCTCATGAGCTGTCAGCGTGACAGCTTGTGAGGAGAGAAATGCCGATAACCGGCATTTCCCTGTTTACATGTGATCAGCTGTGATTGGACACAGCTGATCACATGACCGAGCTGACATCTTCGGCTCTTTCTGTGGATCGGTGATCTGCGTGTCCGAGGGACACAGCGCGCCGCATGCGCAGTGAGAATGGGAGGACATCATGGGGGAGATTTACTAACACTGGAGCACACAGAATCTGGTGCAACTCTGTATAGTAACCAATAGGCTTCTAGTTTTTTTGCCAAAGCTAGAAGCTGATTGGTTACGATGCACAGCTGCACCATATTTTGTGTGCACCATTTTTTGTAAATCTCCCCCCATATGACGTCCTCCCAGAACAAGAGAACAACCTTGCGCCCATCATTGAACTATATGGCGGGCGGGAGGTGGTTAATAAATGTTGATTGATAAAAGTGATAAACTATGATGGGTGTTTTTTTCTGCGTTTTCAGAGGATATGCTGGATAAGAAATAGGAAGACCATTCCGGAGTAGAATGTGGAGGAGATTGAAGGTGGAGCAATAAAGGTATTATACCTACCCGGGTAAAAGGGAAAGGCACTATTTGACCTAAACATTTATAGGTCAAATTAAGGAGGTGAGAGTACATATGTGTGTCAGTGGAGGAGAAACACTTAAGGGTGATTCAGTACACGGCAGGAAGGTGCACGGATATTTATATGAATTTAGTGATCCTGTTAAGAAGAATGTATATATTATAGAAGGACTCAATACTATATGGGATTCAATGTCGCAAGATGAACACACTGTTTATGTAATGCACTGTGATATTTGTATGCACAAAGTTATATGGGAAATTGCACAGGCACTTTATTATGACGATTGCACATATATTCTAAATTGCATATTTTGTATTGCACAGCACTGGTTTACTAAGTATTTACCATTGAATGAATTGATGCTGAAGCATTAAATATGCCTACAATTAACACGCGTTTACATGTATTTACATGTGTTTACAAGCGTCAAGTGGTTTTTTGTCAAAACGTTGCTGCTTCTGGATGCATTGGCAGTGTTTTTTTTCTCCTGCCTCTAAACTGTCGTGCCATCAAACGCTGCTAAAAGACTATGTGTGCATGGAAAAATAGGCTAACATGGAGGGGTGGATGGAAGAAGGGAAAAAAAAAGCCTGATGTCCCTAAAAGTGGCAGTAAAAATGTCCTGTACACATAAGGCCTTTCTTACTGGCCAAGGTCATGCCTTCTCTGTGTCTAATAGTTTATTATGGCTAAAGTTACACTACTGATTATTACATGTAAACATCACTACATTTTTCACAAAGGCTGAAATACCTAAACTGTCTATATTCTATCCATTCAAACATGTTTTCAACAGTCATTTTATAATACTTGTATTTCAGTTTTGATAGATGATAGGGAGCTGAACCACATTACAGTCTTGTTTGACTCTTGCAGACACTGTTGGTGAGATCTCATTATAACAGGGACCTGGATATTGGAAGTTGTGTGCCCACAAAAAAGGACAAAGGGCTAATCACCAGTATTACCATACCTTGTGGCACACAGTGTTTCTTTGTGAAATGTGGCCATCTTGATAGAGGAGGAGGACCTTGCTTGAACATTACATAGCTGCCCCCCTTATGACTGGTGATCAGATGACTGGTAGGGTCATGATCAAGAAGCAGCAGGAGAGGAGAGGGAATTACATATCTACATGAATGAAAAAAAAAATGCTGGGTGATCCATGTAGTGCCAGATACAGCTTTCTCTCCATCAAGCCGTCAGGAAAACAGTGAACAGCATGGTAGTGATATAAAGAAAATCTCACTCCATTCAAATCGCAGATGGTCAGAGATAGGATGTAACAGAGTCATATTTAGCCCATACATGAGTCAAATTTTTTTGTTGCTCAACCAGCGCGTTGAATGATAAAAAAAATGAACTGATTTCCCCATCCACACATTTAAGGTGGATGAGGGAATCCTCTCACTGAGCTATTATATTCTGACAACAAGGAGATTTCCCCGCAGCCAGAATACAGTGATGAGCGCTGCTGGCCAAAATCAACATATCTAGAAGTTTCCTTATAGGATAGCATCTTTCACTGTTTCATTTCAGGTCTACATTAACTTCTTAGAGTTGCATTCCTTCTGTGGTCATTATGAGGGTTTCCCACTATCGCATTTGAGTTGTTTTAGTTTTTTAATGTAATGAATGATGACGTAATGATGCAACTGGTGCTGGAACATGCAAAGGTGGCTTAGAACACCCCCAGCTTCCAGGTAGATGGGAACAGACTATGGAATTATAGCAGGGGGCCCATCAGACTATACCAATAACTGATATATCACTTTTAGTTGGACTGACACTTTAAAACATATTAGGTATATGCTTCTGAGTCCAGTCAAGGAGTATGTTGCCAATTCCACAGCTGTTGATATGGGGGCAAAGGCGTCTTCAACCCAGGTCCACCAAAGCAGAGTCCTCTAAATTTGAAGTGAAACATTGTAAAAATAAGTCTTTAACTCTCCTGCAAGCCAATATATACCTTTCTCGACGATTGAAACTCCATCTTTCAATGCTGCTATTATATTATTCTTAAAAATGAACTGTGATATTTCCTAAAAACAAAGCTAAAACAGCAGACATACGGGGTAAAATTGATTTTACATTGAAAGGATATATCTTATTTTAGAAAGATGACTGGAGCCCACACACAGTCTGCTAAATTGTAGTCATTGAAGATGAGAATCTGATTAGGAGATCAGATAAGTGAATATTTTTTTTTATGTGTATACAGTACATTTCTGACAGACTCTCAAAAATTTGGGAATTATAGAGTGGATAATAACCTCCCACAGTAATTTATAAGGATATTAGAAGTGATTTAAGTGTTCCATGACCAAGGGGCAAGAATTGAGGAGTGATCTCTCTCCTCCTTTCAGTTATAAGCAAGCAATCTGTCAATCAGAACAGGGTGTACACCTAATCAAAGTGTACTCTTCCTGTCTTTGATCAAGGCGGTGTAGTCATACTGAGTAGAGAATTGCCTACTTTTGTGTTCATTATTGGCTTCTTAAAATTTGTTAATTTTTTTGGTGTATGTTTATATTTTCAGCCCCAGAAATATCAGCACATTTTTAGAGCACATTTTTAGCGCAGTTTTAACTGCACATGTTACGTACTTGAAACATTGAAATATACAATGGCCACTTTCTAAGAATCAACACTAACCAATGCCCTAACATCAACCTAACCCATTATACTAACCCCAAACCTCAGGAAAAATGTACGCTGTCACAACAATAAATAATATAATATCTAACCAATAAATGCCACCATACAAATGAAAAACTGAAAGGTATGCATTAATACTCTGGACATCTTTTTTACACTGTACTAAATAACGGCATAAGATAAAAGCAGGGGCACCTGTTCTAAAATCTGTGCAGCATAGTAAATATTCCAATTCCCTGCTGAACTGGCCACACTGAGGGCTTATTTGGCTAAATGAAGGATATGCTATAGCTATTTCAGAATTTAAACTCTATAACATTGTCAACTGCACAAGGTTTTGTCCTAATTTAACGATCTATTTATTTTAATCACATATGAAATGGTACTGATTCAACCTATTTTTTTCTACAAAAAAAAAAAAAACAGCGAAACAAAGAAAACTCTTAAGTTTTTAATGGAGATCATGTACAACTGTTACTATATGCATAGACTACAAAACATACCAAGCTTGTCATTCTTTTTGTGGACTGCACCTGCTCTACCGTTTGCCTTCTCTGGGTGCATGCTCATGTAAAGTTCTCAGTTTTGAAAACTTGCAAGGAATTTAGCTATAATGGCCTAAACATGACTACCCCTAGGTGCAACATAACAACAATGACCAACATGAGTCTTCTAATAATATGGAGACTTGTCTTATTCAGAAATCTAGTTCTGATATTCATTTTGTAAAGTGCTTTAAACTATATGGTAATTTGTGTATAGCAAATACAATGAACCATTTTCAGCTACTCACTCCAGCACCGACATACCATTGGTGACTACAAAAAATGGCTTTACAATTAGAATTTAACTTGTAAAAGAGATGGCAAATAAGCAGTCTTGGAGGTCTTTCTTCAGGTGGACCTAGGTTTTTTTAAAAACACACAGTGAGCTGAATGCTTCTTTGCTTTCCCAGATTGTTTGAATAGCAGTTGGGGTCAAATGAGAAGTAAGACAATAGCATTACTTTACAGAAGAAGGAAAATCAAAGGAAGGCAGGTGGGAAATCATTACTTTGATACTACTTTGGATATTTAGTTATAGTGGCAAAGCAGGTGTTACAAATATACAGTATATATGTGACTACAAGATGAAGTTATAAATACTTGTATTTCTTAGGTTCATCTGTTAGGATACAACTGATGACTGGACTGCAGTTATGTCATCTCTGCAATTTTGTGTTTCCAGTAGGACAATTTAGAAATAAAAAAAACATCTACCAACAGACCACTGCATGTTCTATTCAAGTACAGTTGATGCAACCTAATGCGGATGTGTGTACAGCAATCATATTTACACTAGTGATAATTTTCATAAAGTGACTTAGAATGCCTATGTTAATTTGTAGCCAGCAGTAATTAACTATACTTCACCAACTACTGAATATAGTTTTAGTACCATACAGGTTCTTCACAGTACTTTTCTCAAATAGAGATTGTTTTTAAACCAGACATCTAGGTCAACGTCTCTCTCTGTCAATCTTTCTCTTGACATATTTACATTAGCTGATTTGCTTCTTTACTACCAACTGTTCATTACAATTTACTTACTGTATCTCTCTGGAATAAAAATAATAAAGGCAAGAAAAATAATATCATATAACATAGGAATGCATAAACGTTCGTAGAGCATCAACAAAAGTTCAAGCAAATACATCTAGGGCAAATTATTGGTTTTAATTTGATATGAAAACACTTTCTCAGAAATGAAAAACATAAAAATGATTTATTTAATAAAATGTAAAAAAGGAATACATTGTATAAATAAATGTTAACACCTCATAGGTATGTAAGATTCTGCAAGCA